CAAAAGGATTATTAGGAACACCAGTTCAATTTCTCATTAATGCAATTTTCTAATCAACCAATCACATGGCAGTTGCTTCAATGCATTTAGGGGTGTGGTCCTGGTCAAGACAATCTCCTGAACTCCAAACTGAATGTCAGAATGTGAAAGAAAGGTCATTTAAAAAATTTTGAGCGTGGCATGGTTGTTGGTGCCAGACGGGCCGGTCTGAGTATTTCACAATCTGCTCAGTTACTGGAATTTTCACCCACAACCATTTCTAGGGTTTACAAAGAATGGTGTGAAAAGGGAAAAACATCCAGTATGCGGCAGTCCTGTGGGCGAAAATGCCTTGTTGATGCTAGAGGTCAGAGGAGAATGGGCTGACTGATTCAAGCTGATAGAAGAGCAACTTTGACTGAAATAACCACTCGTTACAACTGAGGTATGCAGCAAAGCATTTGTGAAGCCACAACACGCACAACCTTGAGGCGGATGGGCTACAACAGCAGAAGACCCCACCGGGTACCACTCATCTCCACTACAAATAGGAAAAAGAGGCTACAATTGGCAAGAGCTCACCAAAATTGGACAGTTGTAGACTGGAAAAATGTTGCCTGGTCTGATGAGTCTCGATTTCTGTTGAGACATTCAGATGGTAGAGTCAGAATTTGGCGTAAACAGAATGAGAACATGGATCCATCATGCCTTGTTACCACTGTGCAGGCTGGTGGTGGTGGTGTAATGGTGTGGGGGATATTTTCTTGGCACACTTTTTAGGTCCCTTAGTGCCAATTGGGCATCGTTTAAATGCCACGGCCTACCTGAGCATTGTTTCTGACCATGTCCATCTCTTTATGGCCACCATGTACCCATCCTCTGATGGCTACTTCCAGCAGGATAATGCACCATGTCACAAAGCTCGAATCATTTCAAATTGGTTTCTTGAACATGACAATGAGTTCACTGTACTAAAATGGCCCCCACAGTCACCAGATCTCAACCCAATAGAGCATCTTTAGGATGTGGTGGAACGGGAGCTTCGTGCCCTGGATGTGCATCCCACAAATCTCCATCAACTGCACGATGCTATCCTATCAATATGGGCCAACATTTCTAAAGAATGCTTTCAGCACCTTGTTGAATCAATGCCACGTAGAATTAAGGCAGTTCTGAAGGCGAAAGGGGGTCAAACAGAGTATTAGTATGGTGTTCCTAATAATCCTTTTAGGTGAGTGTATATTATGAGGAAATTCAACCGTTTGTTTTTTAACTTTGATGCATGTAAACATGTTGTAGGAGACTCCCCAACAACATTAGGAATTTTTTAAATCGCATAATAGGGGCCCTTTAAAAATGTATAATACAGAATTTTTTGTCGCGTCTGCGTAGCCACGCAAACCGGAATTATCCCGACAACGTTTTATCTGTACAGAGGTAAAGGTAGGGAGGCAAATTTGTTTGTTGACTGACTTATTGTATGAGTAAAGTTTGTAGCTTCTGGCATTTTGTCTTACAGCTATACATTTACTGAGCACAACATTAAGGAGTTCTTTGTCTCCTCCATAATGTTTGGGTGTCTGTGTGAATTCTGTATGTGAGGCATACAGTAAATGCTCTTCGTTAAAGAATAGTTCACCCAAAAATTAAAGTTATGTCATTTACTCACCCTCATGTTGTTCCAAACTTTTTTTTTTCTTTTTTTTTAAACGTCTATATACAATTTCCATATAATGAAAGGTTACCAACATTCTTGAAAATATATTTTGTTTTTCTCTGAAGAAAGTAAGTCATGCAGGTTTAGAACGACATAAGGGTGAATTAAAAGATGACAATTTTCCTTTTTAGGTGAACTGTCCCTTTACATTAACTTGATGCTGAAATTATTTTTCCCATCAAAATGTAATCTTTTTTTGTGCAAATATAAGAAAAAATACTTTAATTTTCACGGAGCTACAGAGCTCAATGAATTAAATTTTTTTTATTTTTTTTATCTCAAATAAAATGGTACCAATACATGCCTTTTTGTCAAACCGGAAATGTTTTTCAGAGGTGGGAGTAAGTCACTAAATGCAAGTCTCAAGTCAAGTCCAAGTCTTAACATTGCAAGTCAAAGTCAAGTCAAGTCATTGTAAGGGTCAAGTCATACTCTTTGTCAAGTCAAGTCAAGTCGCAACTTAGTCATCAAGTCATACCAAGTCGCACACAGGCTAGTTTTACACATTTTTTAACTCTGGGAATTTTATTACTTATTTAGACACAGAGGGCTGATGGGTTACAAAAATAAATAAATTAACTTGTGTGTAATAAATAAATTAGCATTAAGAAGCACTTTAAATGCTCTAAAATAAAAATAAATTAAATGAACACAAGTAAACTAGAATTAATACAACTTTTCCCATCTTGTAAAAAAAAACTAAAAAGATATTGCATTCTAAATTAGTACTGTATGCCAAAGTTTGTATGTTCTTACTCTAAACATCCAGGTGATTTGATCCCATAACACAAAATATTATATGGAAATTTTAAGAAAACAAATCTAATAATTTAAATGATTTAAACCCGACCATTTATTAATACGTGGGTCGTTATAACTGACGTTCTCAACTACTTTCTATATTACTTTCTCCCGCCCGCAACATTTATGTTTTGTCCCGCTCCCGCCCGCAAAAATACTTTTTTTCTGTACCTCCAAATACTTTTAAGTTAGCCTATGTGTCGCCACCATACACATGAGCATAAATGCTCCTGATAAATTATTTGTTATTAAAGCATTAACACACAAACCACTGTTAGACATAAAAGCAAGCAGCTCCTGCGTGCATGGTTTGGGATACCTGCACGCCCTAATTCCTAAAAAGCTGACATCAGTTCATCGCGATCTCACACATCTCTGTTATTATCAATGATTTGCCAGCATACAGAATTCAGCACTGAACAAAAAGTCCGTTTTGAGCGGTGAGGGGAGTCCATCGTAAATGCTTCTGATTGGCCATTGCGTTCCTAGAAATCAACACATATGTCTGTGATTAGCTACATCGCTCAACGCTGCAGACATGTTAGAAATAGAAACTCTGCCTGTAAATCGTTTCTATTTTGTTTTAGTTGTTCTTATTGCTTTTCTGCAACAGATGAATAAAAATGTATTCGTTTTTATGTTTTATTCATAGATATTTCTAGTTTGCGGGAGTCTCGCGAATCGTTTTATTCTCCCTCAACCCGCACACACAGAGTGAGTGCATTACCGCCCGCGCTCCCTCTTATGACGAATAAAAAAATACACAATAATTGATTTTTTTTTTTTCACAAGTCATTTCAAGTAAATAGGCACAAGTCCGAGTCAAGTCTAAAGTCACAAGGAGCAAGTCTAAAGTCAAGTCGAGTCTTTTCAGAGATCTATTCAAGTAAGTCTCAAGTCCAGAAAATTGCGACTCGAGTCTGACTCGAGTCAAGTCATATGACTCGAGTCTCCCACCTCTGATGTTTTTATTTATTTTCCAATGGATGAGTTGGACAAGATAATTAAAGAAAGCCAATAATTGTCCAGAACAGGGGTTCTCAACTGTTGCCCTCGAGGGCCACTGTCCTCCAAACCTAATCAAATACACCTAAACAAGCTAATCAAGGTCTTCAGGATTACAGACAGGCAGTTGAGTTTGATCAGGGTTGGAGCTAACTCTGTAGAACAGTGATCTCAAGGGCCAGAGCTGAAAACCCCCGGTCCAGAATATATGGGAACCCTTTCAATAGAGTTTAAAAAGTATCCCAGCATGCACCTCTTGAAGTTGGTTGAGAGAATAACAGAGCTGCAAATCTAGAAAGGGTGGCACCTGAAATATACATTTTTGATTTTTTTTTTTTTTTGAGTAAATTTGTTTTCTACATAATTCCCATACTTTTGTTTTCATTTCATAGTTTTGATGACGTCACTATTATTATAAAATGTTGAAAATCGTAATAATACAGAACGAGTAGATGTCACATTTTTTTGACTGGTAGTATCCACACACAGAGCCAAGCTATATCCTGTGAAAGACTTGCGATTCATTAGCTCTGTAACTAAAGAATAAAGTGCATTATACAGTAAAACTATTTGCACAACAATCCAGTGTTTATGATTACTATAATAAATTAAAATAATTTGATAACAAAAATGGCTAAAACATAAGGTGAAATATAATGTGCTGTGGAATCCATAGTTTTTTTTGTTTGTTTTTAGAGGAATAATGTAAAAGTTTGGAATGAGCAGGAATTTGGAATGCTATTCTCCTGCAGTCAGAAGAATCTGGGTCAGAGTGCTGGCGGATTAGAACTGACTCTTTCCAACTCTCAATTCTTGGGAGAAGATTTGGACTCGGCCTTTTTTTTTTGTCTTCCTCATCCTCGATATTAAACCCTTCAGTAGGGAAACAATGTGTGATGTGTATGTATGTTGGTGTCAGGGGTGCAAAAGCCAAGCAGCAAAACTATAGAGCTTCAATTTGCTGATTCTGTTAGTCTCACATCTGCTCCCTTTCCAACTCACTCCAATCATCTTCCGATTTCATACTCTTTCTTCAATGTCTATCTGAACCTTTATTATTTCCCCTCCTCCTGCTGCCATCAGAGTCCAGTATCGACAGTCTGGCTAATGGTTTCTGGAAATTTCTTCATGTTCAGCCGTTTTAGTTCAGAGGGCTGCAGGCAGGAACACATGTAGCAGACTATATAGAGAATACAGGACTTCAGATGTATTGCTTTTCAACCCATGATATGGAGTTGTGTCTTTGTGCTGTTACAGTGAGCACAGCTTACCCAGTGACCCAAGCCTAATTTGCACACATTCAAAGGCAGGTTTGATAGTGATGGAAGGGAGTATTGAGTGTTTAGATAATGTTATTGATTTTAGAACTGCCTACTGAATAGCCCATCTGCCCTGTGTAGAACCATTAGCACCTAAGCTCAGAGCGTGTGTGAGCGCAGTCTTGGATTGGTCTTCATCTCTCAAGAGCTTCCCACTCTAGGCTCTCTGCCACTCTCAGCTCATCAGTTCCTCAAAACTAGTTAAAAATGTATTTGTCTGCTCCCTTTTCTCTCCCCAGACAAACATCCCGTTCCTCCAGAACGTGCTGAGCAATAATCAGTTCCTGAATGGGACGGTAGATACTCAGTTCATCGACGAGAATCCAGATCTCTTCAACCTTAAACCGGTGCAGAACAGAGCACAGAAACTGCTTCATTATCTAGGTAACCTTTTTGAACTGGATGATTCAATGAACAGATTAATTCACAAATGTGTTTGACTGAATTTAAATATGCACTTTTGTTTTGTGACATTTCATATTTCATATTTATTGATTGATTTCATGAGTGGTATTAGGTTTTTTTTGTGTCAGAAATTAACTTTTTTTTTTCGCCAAGAGGCATTTCCTCCACTAGAATTGATTTTCAGAGGAATTTTTTTTCTAACCATAAAACACACAGCATGCTGTCATTTTATGTCAAATACCTCAATTGAATTAATTAATTACATTCTCAAGATATGTTATTTAAAATCAGATCAAGTAGCTGTAAATAATGCACAAGATGTCATAACACAATAAACACCCTTGCAAGAGCATTTATTGCACTAATTTTAACTAAACACATTGATTAATAGGCCTACAATAGAATATATACATAATCAATATAATGACCACACATTTATAACATCTAGGCCTTTTTTCACTTTTTGCCTCGATCCCTAGTTATTTTCTGATTTTAATTTCTTTGTGTAAAATTATAAACATTATAAAATTATAAACATTACAAAACTGCTCAGTTTTCCATTATGAATGTTTAATATCAATACAACTAATACAAAGAGAATTGTGCAGATTTATATACTGCTATTCACGTATTCAGTAGTTTGGCATCAGTACGATTTTTTTTTTTTTTTTTAAGAAATTAATACTTTTATTTGGCAAGGATGCAATAGATTGATCAAACATGTCTGCAAAAGCATTAATGTTACAAAAGTAAATAAAATAAGAAATGAGCAGCGAATCAGCATATTAGAATGATTTTTGAAGGATCATGTGACAGAAGACTGGAGTAATGATGCTGAAAATTCAGCTTTGCTGTCACAGGAATAAAGTAAATGTTAAAATTAGTGCAGTCAATCGATTAAAAAAATTAACTAGATTAATCACGTTTTTTCTCTGATTAATCGAGATTAATCTACGTTTTTATACGTTTACGGTAAATATTTTATAATATTTTATAATATTAAAATAATTTTACAGTTAATCTCCAAATTAATGTAAAAACAACATAAGGACAGTATATTTTAAATACTTGTTTAATGGCTTCTTTTTATTTCTTATCTTTTTATGAGTGATGACTGATACTAATTCAGCTACTGATGTTTCAATGAATTTTTTTTTTTTTTTAACATTAATTATAGCCATTCAACATTACAGTGCCATTGAAAGCTATCGATTGAAAAAAATAAACAACTTTTAATTTAAGAATGCTCTAATCAGGATACTCGACAAAACGGACATTTTGGCATGATTGTGTGTGATTGTTCGTTCAAGCGTGAAAGAGGTCTTGAGTCTGTATTTCTGTGTGTCGTGTGTGTCACATATAGACAGGACATTCACTGACAGCATGTTCTATTTTGTCTTTTGCCTTTAATGGTTTGAAAGCATTTGCATGAATAAGAGCGTGATCCTATAATGTAACGCTAGCCAAAGGATGACAGAACAAAGCTGATGCTGCATTAGAGATAAATATATTTAACGCATTAAATTGAATTTTTTTTAATTGCATGCGTTAACGTTGTCAGCACTAGTTAAAACACATTAAAAAAGAAAGTGGTTATTTTAAATTGTAATAATATTTCATAATATTCCATTGTATTTTTGATCAAATAAATGCAGCCTTGGTGAGCATCAACTTTTGAACTGTAGTGTACATTTGAACAAAAATGTGTACTTTACACCATCCCTGCTCTCAGCAGCCCTTTACAAAGTTTCGAGTCAAGTCAAGAGCCAAAACCTTTAAAGTAATGTGGGCTGCGCAGTTTCCATTCCACTTGACCAATCCACTCAGTGTATCAGCAGAGGTGGATTTGAAGCTGTTTGTACTTTTTGTGTGTGATTGCTTTTGCTCGTCATTCAGGGCATGTTATGGTGAACGGCCCAACTACTCCAATACCTGTCAAGGCTAAGCCTTCCCCCATCGATCCGGTCATCCCACCAGTACCTCTCGGTAAGAAACGCACGCACTTACCTTATCTCACATTCACACACTGTCAGTTTCTCACACTACAAATGCAGTATAAGCTGCCTTTGCACTTAGTTGCCGTGATATTTCATTGATGCACTGCAGAAGCCGTGTTTTAGAGTATATTTACGTCTTACAGAAGGTGGTCATAATTCATCCTTCCCCCACAGTCTTTCATGAAGTTACCCATGACTATATTATGAATCTACAGCGGGAGGAACATAAAATTAAGGCATTTGTTTACAAAAGAGCCCCTCCACCATGTTTTCATTCACTTTTCACTTCCATCTTGTGCGGATTTGTTTGGACACGTGCCAACAGCGAAAATCAGTTGTTGTGCTCTGGGAAAACTACTTCATTCTTTCTGGGTAATATGTCTATTAAGATGCATGTTGTTGTGCATTTGTGTCTGTATGTGAATAATAGCGCTGATAAAAATTGTGTTTTTTTTTCTTTGTAGTCCCACGCAGTGTGGCGTTTGTGATAATGTCTGTATTATAAATTGGCCGTGTGTTTGTGTACGCACTCTGTAGGTGAGCCACCAGTGGGTTTCAGGGATGTGTTGCTGAGAGAGGGTCCAGATGGTTTTGCGAAGGCGGTGCGTGCCCACCAGGGTCTGCTGCTTATGGACACTACGTTCAGAGACGCCCACCAGTCCCTCCTGGCCACTCGCGTACGCACTCACGACCTTAAACGGATCGCGCCTTTTGTGGCTCACAACTTCAGCAACCTCTTCAGCGTGGAAAACTGGGGAGGTGTGATACTAGTTAGACTCTATTGTTTTCTTTCCTTCCTCATGCTTTCTCTCTCTCTGTCTCTCCCCTTCCTTCCTCCCTCCCTCCCTCCCTGTTTTTTTGCCTAACTGCTGTGCATGCTAGCAGCTAACCCAGCCTACTATTCTCTAGCTTGACTCACATATTCCCCTCATTCCAACTGAATAACACAAGAGCGATCAAAAATACCTGGTTTTGATCGATTCTGGATCTTTTACCGAAGTCTTGCAGTACTTATAAGGAATACATATTTGTTAAAAATAAGAACAATTCCATTGTCAAATGGTTAGATGATTTCGATAATAAATACGTTTCAAACTATTATTTTTTTTACTAAAGATGTCTTTTTGAATAGACTATTTAATGACTTTAAATGTCTTTTCACAGGTGGGATAAATGCAAAATTTGGCCTTTACTATATATAAAAAAAAAACTTCTACTGGCAAAATGCAATGTATTTTTAGACATTGTCATATGAACAACCAGTCAGCAGTGTTATTAAAACTATTAAAAAAATTGGTAATTTGAAATTAAGCTGAAATAAAATACAAGTAAATGCATTTATCTAAAATAAGTTTGTTGAAGTACTAAAATGACTACAACTGGAATAAAGATAAATAGAAATATTAATAAATCTAATAAAAATAACAAAAGCATGTAGCAAAATTACAAAAAATTCAACTTCAATTAAAATGAAAAATAAAAGTAATTAAAAATATGAATAAATAGTATAATTAATAATATATGATTTAATTAAAAAATAACACTACCAGGCATAATTTAGCCTTTATAAATGCTGAATGACGCTGTTGCATTTGACTTACAGCAAGGGTCACACAGGAGATGTGTGTTACGTTCGTTTCTGGAATGAAAATGTGGAAGTATGATTCCAACGGGAAAGTGCTTTACATGCTTCAATTAAAATCTGCTCCACTAATGCTGGATATTCTGATTCTCTTACTTTATTTTATTTTTATTTTTTATTTTCATTTTATTTTATTTATGTCTCTTTCTTTTTCAACAGGTGCTACGTTTGATGTGGCAATGCGTTTCCTGTGTGAGTGTCCCTGGAAAAGGCTGCAGGAGTTGAGGGCTCTGATGCCAAATGTGCCTTTTCAGATGCTTCTGAGAGGTGCCAACGCCGTTGGATACACAAACTACCCTGACAATGCCGTCTTCAAGTCAGTCATGTGCTATCTTACACCACAACCTGCTTACAGTCTGAATGAACTTCTCAAATGCTAATCTTTTTACAGACGGGAATCCCAAGGAATTGAATGTTCTGATTCAGATTACACTTACAGTAATGATTCTTTGTGTGCTTTTGAGGAAGCACTTGAGGAATCAAGTGGGGAATTCTTCCACATCAGCAGAAGAATGCAGACGTTAACAAACGAACGGAAAAATCATTGGGTTCTGACTCTGGCCCTAAGCACCATTCAGATTGCTTTTAATTCTTATTAGAATGTGGAGCTGGGGAGCATTACTGCTCATTTAGTGGCTTTGTGTCAGACCTTCCATAAAATGGCTGCTACCAATTTCTATTCAGCATTTCCAGTGCCAAAATACACAAATGTAAATGTTAGAGATAAAAAAATCTTGCTTAAACTCTTTGCAAAATAAGCAAATTACATTTTACTTGGTTTAAGGTAGAAGAGCAAAGCTAACAGGAATGTGACCATGTGTATTTCTTTTAAACCTAAAAAGTAAACGTAAACAAGAAAAAAGTAAACAAGTATTTATATGCTATTATAGTATTTATTAATATTTTGAATTATCTTTTATTTTTATAATATCAGTTTGTATTTTTATTTTACTTTCAGTAATTATGTTAAAAGATTAGTTTACTTTAAAATGAAAATTAGCCCATGACTTACTCACCCTCAAGCCATCCTAGGTGTCTATGTCTTTCTTTTTTCAGACGAATACAATCGGAGTTATATAAAAAAAGATCCTGGCTCTTCCAAGTTTCATAATGGCAGAGGATTGCAACCAACAGACTGAAGCTCAAAAACGAGCATCCATCCATCGTAAACAAACTCCAAACGGCTCCTGTGGGTTAATGAAGAAAGGCCTTCTGAAGCAAAACGATGAGTTTGTAACGTGTTAAATATGAATATTTTTCTTACACAAAGTAAAATTCTAGCTTTTACTAGAAGAGCCAGGATATTTTTTTATATAACTCCGATTGTATTCGTCTGAAAGAAGAAAGTCATATACACATAGGATGGCTTGAGTGTGAGTAAATCATGGGCTGATTTTCATTTGAAAGTGAACTACTCCTTTAAGTGCTTTTGTCATTTGTATCAATTTTTATAAATATTTCTGTTTTGCTTTTGAGGTTTAAAATATATTTTACGTTTAAGCTTTTACATCTAATATATATTTTATTTATTGTATTTCACTTATATTATACCAAGAATGATATCAGTGACTCATCACCATATCATTTCCTCTGTTTTTGTTAGGTTCTGTGAGGTGGCCAAAGAAAATGGTATGGACATCTTTCGTGTGTTTGACTCGTTGAACTATCTTCCCAACATGCTCTTGGGGATGGAGGCAGCAGGTGCAGCAGGAGGTGTGGTGGAGGCGGCCATCTCGTACACCGGCGACGTTTCTGACCCCACGAGGATGAAATATTCTTTAGACTACTATCTCAAACTAGCAGATGAGCTGGTCAAGGCTGGAACGCACATCCTTTGCATCAAGGTAGTGGTTTGTTTATTTTTATGTGGGGTTTTTTATCCATTTGTCTGTTTTGTTAACCTCAACTCTTGCTCACTCTTTCATCTCGACTGCTGCTCCCACTCTGCCTCCACCCACACATAAAATACCACTGCATCACTGTCTCTGTTTGTTTACAGTGCACTTCTCTTACTTTACTTTTTCCTTCTGTCTCTCCGCTCTGCAGGACATGGCGGGTCTTCTGAAGCCTGACTCTGGCCGTTTGCTGGTCGCCTCGCTAAGGGACCGTTTCCCAGACGTGCCGATCCACGTGCACACTCACGACACCGCAGGGGCTGGAGTGGCTGCCATGCTGGCATGTGCAGAGGCCGGAGCAGACATTGTGGACGTGGCAGTTGACTCCATGGCAGGAATGACGTCCCAGCCCAGCATGGGTGCCATAGTGGCATGTGCCAAAGGCACCAAACTCAATACTGGTGAGGACTGTCAATCAAACTGTGTCTTGTTAGAGCTGATATACAATATAGTATATGATGGATGGATGGATGGATGGATGGATGGATGGATGGATGGATGGATGGATGGATGGATGGATGGATGGAAGGGTGGGTGGGTGGATGGGTGGGTAGATGGGTAGAGATGGATAGACCGAGTAAGGGAGGTAATAGAACCGCTGGGTATCCCCACTGTGGCACCTCATTGGTCCAAAATCTCCACAAAACTGTACAATAAATTAAACATCAAATATGATCATATTGACTTTGATTGTTGTGTTGACTCAGTTTTGCATTCAGTGAGGAAACAAAGTTTGTTGCTGGCAACTTTGTCTCATCCTAGGACATGGTGTTATAGTGACAAATTGGTTGTTTTGTTTTCTGTGCATATAAAACAGTTCCTCATTTATTTTAGTTTGCCTGTTTTTTCCATGATACAGCCCATCACTCATTTTCCAGGTTATGTATTAAAGGGAACATGATGTGAACATTCTTCTTCTATCATAAAAGCTATTATTATGTCTTTATGCATGGCAAAAATTACTCCTCACCATTCGTACCACAACCCAAAATGCTCTTCATGGTTTTTAATATTCAACACACCTGTTTTACATTTTTGTTTTTTTCAACTGCTGTTCCTCATTTCATGCAAATGCTCCCACACTTTCATTCTCTTAATATTTATTTTCCCTCCTTCATAATCCAGTTGTGAATGAGGTCATGGGAAGTCAGCTGAAAAAGGAAGAAAAGCAAACAGAGCAGAGCAGTAGTGCTAATGAAAGAAAGGAAAAAATGATAACACGACATGTCCAGTCAGCTATGGAAGGAGTAGAAGAAAAAGAAAAATGATGTTGGGGTGAATGAAAAGAGTAGAGAGAAGGGTCAGAGCGGACAGACATCATTTGGATGTTGGTGGCTGACCCATTGACCTTTCCTTAATTGTGACATTACTGTAGCTGCTGGTGCTTAACCTTCACTGATGAGTCTCATGCCCCATTGGGCCTTCTCGCCGTAGGGTGTGTGTGTGTTTGTGGCCAGAGACTGTGGAGTGTGGTCAATCTGTGGTGGACCATCTGTCCAACCACGGGTCACTGCCTCACCTGCCGCTGTAGTGACCAATGGCATAAAAATCTACCTTATTAAGGCTGATTCACGTTGCAAATGTCTACATTTCTGTCATCCTAAAGTTGGCTGTTGACTGTATAATTAACTTCAAACATGCAAGAGTGCTGTTATTGTGAATATCAACATGGCTGTGATTCAATTGTTAAAACTGATTCTATACAACTTGGGATACATTGATGTTAATATTCTGGTCAATACTGATGAGCTGATAATTATTTTAATGTTTTGACCAGTATTAAAATTCAATACTATTCTCTATCATTTTAAATAATACAAGTGAATTTAGGCATCACAGCATTATATACACAGTATGGAAAATGTATATTTTCCTTTTGAGATTTACTGAAGATTGCATTTAACAGTGTTATTGAGTTATTAGTGTTTGTAAAAATCAAATTTGAGTGAGTGTTAGATGATGGTAAAGGTAATCTAAATATAGAAATATGGTAAATGAACAATTGGATATTCAATATTAACCAATACTGATAAATTAATTTCTCTAATACCTGCTGATAGCCGATATGTTTCTGATCGGCACTCTTGGAATTAGTGGTCGCCCAATGTATAGCCGATAAGTGTCTGAACTTTTAATTTGACAGTGCAGATGGTCATGAGCTTCAGTTCTCCATCTTCATTTGTTTACTGTCTTTTTTTAACAGTTCTGTTAAACTGTTAAACGGAGATAGTAAATGGTAAATGAAAAAGTATTACAGTGTTTGCATCTCTATTATTATTAATAGAATAGCATATAATAATTTATTCTATACTATCGGCATTCAGTAAATATGCATTTTTACTGTATTATTTAAATAAGTCTTTGGATATCTAATAAACATTTCATTGCAGCATAGGTTATTTACTATATTTATATATATATATATAGGTTTTAGTTCAGCCATCGGCAAACTTTCTTTCTAATGTTGCTCAGCCAAATCAGAGAAACGGTTATAACTTTTGTATACGCTCAATTTGTTTGCTGGGACAGTGTGAACTAGCCTTTACAGTAGCTCTCACACTGTTATAATATACAGGATGTGTTAGTTCACCCAAAAATGTAAATTCTGTCAATTACTCACCTTCATGTCGTTCCAAACATGTAAGACTTTCGTTCATCTTCAGAACACAAATGAAGATCTTTTTTGTTGAAATTTAAAAGCTTTCTGTCCCTCCATAGAAAGCTGCGCAACCAAATTTTCTGAAGAGACTCGGTCGCTTTATATGATGAACAGATTGAATTTAGGCTTTTATTCACATATAAACATTGATCAGCAAACATAAACAGAAGCTCAACCAAACCTGCTTGACGCATGAGAACCTCATTGGTTCTTGTGGAAGCTGAAACGTGCTGCGTGTAACACAAGAATGAACCTCTGGTTCTTGCGGAAGCTCAAACGTGCTGCGTAACACACAAGAATGAACCTCTGGTTCTTGCGGAAGCTCAAACGTGCTGCGTAACACACAAGAATGAACCTCATTGGTTCTTGCGGAAGCTCAAACGTGCTGCGTAACACAAGAATGAACCTCATTGGTTCTTGCGGAAGCTCAAACGTGCTGCGTAACACAAGAATGAACCTCATTGGTTCTTGCGGAAGCTCAAACGTGCTGCGTAACACAAGAATAAACCTCATTGGTTCTTGCGGAAGCTCAAACGTGCTGCGTAACACACAAGAATGAACCTCTGGTTCTTGCGGAAGCTCAAACGTGCTGCGTAACACAAGAATGAACCTCATTGGTTCTTGCGGAAGCTCAAACGTGCTGCGTAACACAAGAATGAACCCCATTGGTTCTTGCGGAAGCTCAAACGTGCTGCGTAACACAAGAATGAACCTCATTGGTTCTTGCGGAAGCTCACACAAGAATGAACCTCATTGGTTCTTGCGGAAGCTCAAACGTGCTGCGTGTAACACAAGAATGAACCTCATTGGTTCTTGCGGAAGCTCAAACGTGCTGCGTAACACACAAGAATGAACCTCTGGTTCTTGCGGAAGCTCAAACGTGCTGCGTAACACAAGAATGAACCTCATTGGTTCTTGCGGAAGCTCAAACGTGCTGCGTAACACAAGAATGAACCTCATTGGTTCTTGCGGAAGCTCAAACGTGCTGCGTAACACAAGAATGAACCTCATTGGTTCTTGCGGAAGCTCACACAAGAATGAACCTCATTGGTTCTTGCGGAAGCTCAAACGTGCTGCGTAACACAAGAATGATCCTCATTGGTTCTTGCGGAAGCTCACACAAGAATGAACCTCATTGGTTCTTGCGGAAGCTCAAACGTGCTGCGTAACACACAAGAATGAACCTCTGGTTCTTGCGGAAGCTCAAACGTGCTGCGTAACACAAGAATGAACCTCATTGGTTCTTGCGGAAGCTCAAACGTGCTGCGTAACACAAGAATGAACCTCATTGGTTCTTGCGGAAGCTCAAACGTGCTGCGTAACACAAGAATGAACCTCATTGGTTCTTGCGGAAGCTCACACAAGAATGAACCTCATTGGTTCTTGCGGAAGCTCAAACGTGCTGCGTAACACACAAGAATGAACCTCATTGGTTCTTGCGGAAGCTCAAACGTGCTGCGTAACACAAGAATGAACCTCATTGGTTCTTAAGGAAGCTCACACAAGAATGAACCTCATTGGTTCTTGCGGAAGCTCAGATGTGCTGCGTAACACAAGAATGAACCTCATTGGTTCTTGCGGAAGCTCAAACGTGCTGCGTAACACAAGAATGAACCTCATTGGTTCTTAAGGAAGCTCACACAAGAATGAACCTCATTGGTTCTTGCGGAAGCTCAGATGTGCTGCGTAACACAAGAATGAACCTCATTGGTTCTTGCGGAAGCTCAAACGTGCTGCGTAAAGGCCGATTTATGATTCTGCGGCGGACCTATAACGCTGTAGGCTACGCGTCGGTTTTCATTTATACTTTTTAAGTTGTTACATGTTACATTGGTTCTTGTGGAAGCTCAAACGTTCTGCATAACACACGAGAATGAACCTCGTTGGTTCTTGTAGAAGCTCAAACGTGCTGCGTAAAACGACAATGAATCTCATTGGTTCTCACACATCAAGCGAACATGCTTGAGCTTCTGTTCACCACAACTGATGTGCGAGATGATGAATGTTTATATGTGAATAAAGGCCCTAAATTTTGTGACTAAATCGCTCAATTCCTATGGATTAGTATTACGATCTCTTTATGAACTTTTTGAAGCGTCAAAGTTTGTTGCATAGACTGTCAATGGAGGGACAGAAAGCTCTCAGATTTCATCAAAAAGATCTTCATTTGTGTTCCGAAGATGAACGAAAGAACGACATGAGGGTGAGTAATTAATGACAGAATCCCTTTATATAATTTATTAGCGCTTGCTAATTAAGCTATCAAACAACACATTAATGAAGCACAGAGACGTATGCTGTGGCGCTCACATATCGGAAATCCCTGAATGCTGTTTCTATGAAAGTCCATGCTTTATGTATAGATACTTCTGGAGCTCCACATCCCGTGGGCGTGTGACTTTGGCAGTATGAGACGCATCAGAGCGGTCACATGATGAGGTGTTCACACTTTAGTTGATTCATTTTTATTCCCTTAAGATTCAGCCATACCCCCTCATTCTCAGTACCTCACGTTTCTTTGGTTTTCCCTCCAGGAGGCGTTTCCTAGGTAATTGAATTGTTTGCAGGTTGTCAGGATTCCTGTGGCAGTGTTATTGTAGTCTCTGTCTCTTTACACACAGTTTTGTTGCCATATGCAACATCCAGTATTAATCACCTGTTTACAGCTTTTTTAAAACAAGCTGCTGTATGTGTTGATGTGAAAAGGAAGAGACAGCGCTGACACATGCTCGATTTCTTATTACACTAGAGTACACAAGGCATTGATATTCCTCAAACATGCCATTTGTTCTCTCCTACTGAACCTGCACCTGAACCTTTCAACATAGACGAAAAATGAAATCTAAGATTAAAATATGTAAATCTCCCCTTGACTTACATTGATAGAATGTTCACCAATTAAAAACCAATGGTGAAGTTGTGATAATTTGCATAGTGAATTCTACATCTACATCAGCTACAACCCAGTGTGTTTATAATTGTGAAAATACATTAAAATAATATAAGAAATAACAACATTTTGCAATATCAAGCAGCATACCAAGTTGTTTTTGTACAGCTAAAATATCTGGAAGCGGATGACACCAGAAGCCTCGCACTTTCATGTTACAAATGACCTCCACCTCAGAGCCCACTCACGTTTACACTTCAAGTATCACATTATGTGTTGATTCTAATGCACAGCTGACAAAAAAAACAAGATTTAGTTTGTTGTTGACTAAATAACATCTTTTAGTTAACTATGTCTATCCATCCATCGGCTATCTAGATATCAGATAGATGTCTGTCTAATATTTTTTATCTATCTATCTAATGTTTCTAATCCATCTGTCTGTCATATATAGCCATCTTCTGTTCTGCCTATTCATCTATCTATCTATCTATCTATCTATCTATCTATCTATCTATCTATCTATCTATCTATCTATCTAATATTTCTCATCCATCCATCTTATATTTCTAATCCATCCATCCATCTATCCAATATTTCTAATCTATCCATCCTTTCTTCATCCATCCATCCACCATCCATCAACCCATCCATCCACCCATCTATCGTATCTATCTATCCGTAATATATCTGTCTGTCTGTCATGTCTATCCATCTTCTGTTCTACCTATTCATCCAATCAGTCCATCCATCCATAATTTATTGAAATTTTAAGACATTGACAGGTAATTGCCTGGACACCTAAAAATAAACTTTTCGGTCTGTTTTTTCCCTATTTTACAGGGGAAATAAATCCCTATTTTACAGACATTTCCACAGTAAAGGATACAAATACAGAATTGAATTGGAAAAAAAAGGAGAAAATAAAGGTTTAAAGTTCCCCTGTGAAAACATGCCAAGTTGTCAGTGAGGATTTGTTGTGTGAAACTACTTATCAGTCTATCAAGATGGATGGATAGACAGATGGATAGATATAACATCCTGTCATCTTGCCAATTCTCCTTCAACTTTCTCTCTCACCTTGTCATTTTCTAATCTGCCTTTCTCGCTCATTCTGTCAATCTCTCATTGTCCGGCTCCGGTCCCTCCGCCTCCCATAGTCTCTTTCTCGATCTCTTCTTCTGTTCAAGCCAGTTCATCACGGTAAAGGCCGTGTGGCCAGAGATCGATTCCCGAGCTGACTGACGTGAGCTGATTGATCAGGCTTCATGGGGTGGAGCTGGACACGCTGCTTTTTCACCATAACATCAATAGCGCCTAATAGCTTGTAGTCGGGGTGGCAGCAAGAAAAATGCATGCAAGCGGGTTTTATGGGGCCGTTGTCACGAGTCCTGCAGTCGCTCTCCGCCGGGTGCGCGCACACGTTAGAGCGTGTTTGTGCGTGTGTTATCTTTTGCACAGGAAAACTATTGTGATCACAGCGATGGGCAATTAGTGAGGATGAGGGAGCCAAACGAGCATGTAAACTCTGTCGCAAGTGGCGCGCCTCATTGATTGATTAATTGACTGACTGCTGCTGGTAAATGATGAAGCCGTGAGTGGCAGGAAGCAATCTATGCTCCGCCACATATTCCCTGCTTCTACCACATACAGGCCCCTGTGTGCTGAGCTTTCGAGGACTGATTAAAAGCTTTGGAAGAATGCCTGATTAGCCGGTGCAGTCTGTTAAAGAGACGAGGACTTTCATTATTTCTGATTAAATATTAATGTCAGACAGTCATTTGTTGTGCTACTTGTTCTCAGATTGCTTATTCCTCTTGGTAGGCTAATGATCTCTCCTCCTGTCTGTCTTTCCTCTTTCGTTCTTTCTCTTTCACTTCACCCACAATTCTTTCTCAGGCATCTCTCTTGAGAAGGTCTTTGACTACAGTGAGTATTGGGAGGTGACCCGAGGCATTTATGCTCCATTTGACTGCACCGCCACCATGAAGTCTGGGAATTCTGATGTCTATGAGAACGAGATCCCGGGTGGCCAGTACACCAATCTCCACTTCCAAGCACACAGTATGGGGCTGGGGAACAAGTTTAAGGAGGTGAAGAAAGCCTACGCAGAAGCCAACAAGCTGCTTGGTGACCTCATCAAAGTGAGCAATTCTCTTTATTTTCATATTCAAACCTATTTTTAGTTATTTGTGATGGATTCTAACAGGATGCAACAATCAGGTTGTCCCCCCCCCCCCCCCCACCATGTAGCAATCCACATGATCGGGAATCACAAAAGATTTCTCCAAGCAGCGGGTTCAAGCTTCTTGGTTTGAAAGTAACTTCTGTGTAAACACAACTGACCTTTTTTGCCCCCAAATTTCACTGTGACCGCACCTTTAGAGCTGAATTTACGGTGACAAACTATACTAACCATAAACCTGGATTGACTCATCATAGGTAAAAAATTACAGCAAAAAAGTGGTGAACACTGACTCCCATAAAGTATTGTGCATATATTTGTATATATCAGCTGATTATTTTGCAATACCCTTAAAGGAGCTGTATGTAAGAAATGTATTTCAATTAATCATAAAATGGCCCTGATGTGTCTCTAGACATTAAGAAATCATGTTCATATCAAATACTTATATCTCTGACAACAGTTAGTACGGCCACGATATTGTCATTTAAAAAGTGAAGTTGCAGCCCTCAACTGATGTTGATGTTGTCATCTTGTGTTTTGGCCTGAAGCCCCACCCTCCACCTATCTACCAATCACGAAGTCAGTAGTGTTTCGGCATCCGAGTTGCCAGCTCTGCTCTAGTTGAAAGCTCCTTGTAGCAGCCTATGTTCCTGCTGGACCCTGCAGCCTATCTGGCAACCTCGAGTCAGGGGGGAGGGGGAGGGGATACACAGCTCTACAGTAATTTGAAAGTGATTGCAGTACCAATTTTGGCCACAATCTTACATACAGCTCCTTTAAAATATATTGTATTTTATACTTATAAATTACTGTAAATCAGTAGTTTTATATTGTGCAATTGCTTTCAATGCCATTCGAAATGCTTCATGTAAATTATTTCTATTTTTTTTTATAGTTTAGATGAATGTTGTAGTTTATAATGTAGTAATTCTTCACGGAGCTGGTTTTGTTTTTTCATGGAGCTGGTTTTCTGTAGAATTCTTTATTAGAAATCCATTTGGAGAAAATTTATTAAAAAATAAAAAAATCTTTCAGAATTAAGGCCGTAAAAAAGTATGGCGTAATTATTGCACTATTCTGTGATTGTCAGACGAGGACTCAGGTCAGCACATTTCTCATGAAATGCCATAATGCTTTTAAACATGATGACTGGAAAATATCAAAAATGGAAAATATCAGTGTAGTACATGAAGTGGTGTGTATGGTGTCATGATGAACCCTTTTAACCCTTCATGCGTGTTATTGCTTATAATAATCCAGATCCCTCATGAGTCTAGTCTTTATATGGGGCCAAAGACACCACACCTTTTAGCTAATTATTTCCTCAGTTGTTACATTTCACACGCTTGAAAACAGAGTCGTGATGTTGTCAAATGATTTTTCAATGAATCATTCCTTTTATTGTCACTCGTGTCCTGTTCCTTGCTTGCTGATATTAATGTTCAAAAGTATTGTTATAATTTGAGTTATTTGTGGTCAAAGGCAATGCGGAAACGTGTAGCACCAATTTCCCCTCTTACAAAATATTCAGTTTTTACTACACTTGTGCTTGTTACATCTGATGCACATCATCTATTCAAAGGCTTTGTTGCACAGATTGGTTTAAAAACGTCCTGCTACCTCCTTGAATGCCCTTATGCCCCTTTAAAATAGATGTTTTTGCTAGAGGAGTTTGCCGTTGGTTTCCTTTAATTTTGCAATGGAATTGATTCTTAATTCACTTTTTTTTCTGTGGAATTTAGAAAAAAAAGTGTGATCTGGCACTTAATCGCTTCAAAACACTCTAGCTCTTCAAATAATAAAAGCCATCTCTGAAGAGAAGGCTTTATAGCTTTTTCAAATTTGTCAGTCATCTGAGAAGCCTATCATAAGATATAATTATCAGCATAAAATCCACTCAACCCTTTAGTGTCTTGGATACTAAAGATAAATATAACATTTTAGTTATATTTCTGAGAGGCTGGTATATCTCCATGAACAAAATATATATTTTATAAGCATTAAGCAGAATATATATTTTAGATTTTACCATTTCTATTACGGTCATCTCCCTTTTTAATCATTTTTACTTTCACTAGGTCATTTTAAATGGTCCTTTAAGTGTGACAAATAAAGATTTTCATGATGATAATAATAAATAATTGTTTATTTATATAACACTTAACATCACTTTGCAACTTATTAAAAATACGTTTTGCTTTATACTATTAAATATTATATTATGATTACACATAAAAATAGTAAAAAGTATTCCATCTAGTCTCCTACTTAAGTCTACATAATAGATGCATGCTTAATGATTATAAAATGATGAGCAAAATTCTGCTTTTGGTTTTAGATTGATGTTAATCCAATATCATGTCACAACACGTAATTTTCCCAAAAGAAACACACTTGTAAAGTTGTAAAGAGCGATACATAAAACGCATTCCCATTATGATACATCGACTTGTAGACGAGCCTGTATGAGTGAGTGGAGGCTCATTTGCATATTCATGGTCCGCATATTCTAAATAAACCACGGGTGTAGTAGAGTTACATTCATGTTATTTTAAGGCATGAATAATTTTTTTTCACAGGAAAAAAATACGTTTAAATGTGTCATTTTGGTGATCAAAGATTCAAAGATCAAAAATGATTGACTACAGGGAAACTTTTAAATCAAGTTTTATTCATAAAATGTAAGAACTCTAGGAATAATTTTGAATATTAACTGCTGTAGAATATGTTTTGATCAATATTAATATGATGTGCAACCACAGGTAGATACTGGATAGTGGAAATAAGTGGTTAACCAATATTCAGTCTGGCTCTGTTTACTTAAAATCCAATTTCATATTATCTACTTCCTGTTATAATCCAGATAATTTTTAGATTTCTACTCCATAATCATTCCTCTCAGAGATTTAAATCAGATTTCCCCCCCATCATTGCATTTAAAGTTGGAGGCTATTTGAGATTAGCAAATAAGTGCATGCTTTAGATTCATGAAGAAGGTCTGTTTTTTTCTCTTGCTCCATCAGTGAATGGAATATTTAAGATTGTTCATACGCCGTAATTGTCACTTGACCGCCACAAACGTGCAGCTTAAATTGCTTGTATGCAACATTCTCCCTGGTTAAATAGGGCTTAATTATCACCCCCTGCACTCAAAAGGGTCTCACCCTCACTCTTGAAATCTGCTCACGCTCACAAGATCATGAGCACCGTGGACCTGAGAGCTCCTCTCTGAATCACAGATTTAATTGCTCGTTCTCCTCTCTCTTTCCTCCTCCCTCCTCTTATTCCGTTGCAACCGTCTCAATCTCCAGATGAAATTGAATAAAAATAACTTGGCAAAAAAACGGGGCAGAAAGGAGGAGTGAATAAATAATCCTGTCCCTGTCTCCTATGGCCCAGAGACAGATCAACTGGGAAGAGCTTTAAGGAAAGCTTATCTGTTGTGTTTCAGAGAGGCTCTGACTGATCTCCTCCAATCAAAGGCGTCTGTGAGCGTTTGGTCTTGCCTTGCTGCTTTTCATTTCCCTGGGCTTAATTAAATGATCGAAGATAGTCGGCTTTCTGTTCTCGGAGTCCCCTCGCTGTTAATATTGTCAATATCGAGGCTGAGCGGTGCGCTGCTTAACAAGCGACAGTTAGCGCTGGGTTTCATTAGTCAGTGCCTCTCGGTTCTCTCTTTCTCACATTTTTCTCCCTTTTGTCCTTACGACGCAAATGTTATCTACTCCCTAAGCCGTGTTTCTGTTTGCCACTGCACTTCGTCTCCTCTCTTACTCCTAGTTTAGATTGGCTGGTTGGGCTGGTGGAGAGCTGAGATGCATCTATGGAGGCCTAAGCAAGCATGTCTTTTCATTTCTCACTTTTATCTGTCCTTCTTCTCTCATCCCCTCCGTTCAGGTGACACCCTCCTCTAAGATTGTGGGCGATCTGGCACAGTTCATGGTGCAGAACTCTCTGACTCGGGCAGAAGTGGAGGAGAGAGCGGATGAGCTGTCTTTCCCCCTCTCCGTGGTAGAGTTCCTGCAAGGACACATCGGCATCCCCCACGGAGGATTCCCGGAGCCCTTCAGGTCAAAGGTACGACATGCATTTATCACTCAATCTGCTGAAATACAACTAGTGTGACAAGATACCTTATTACGTAAATGCTGTATGGCTATTCATTTAAATATGTTTTACAGCTGTGGTTTTAGTGGGTGGAAAATTATGTTCTTTAAGGGATAGGTCACCCAAAAACTAAGATTTGGTCACCATTCACTCACCCTCATGTCGTTCCAAACATGTATGACTTTTCTCTACTGTGGAACTCGAAAATGTTTTTCAACTGTTGTTGACTATCCACCTTATTCTGCTCTAAACAATGCGCGCCGCCATGACGACGACTCCATGACGACGACTCCGGTTGCCTACTTCCGGTTCGTAAGTTACTGTATTAGCAGTAAGAGAATGAGTTCAGGCTCTACGTGCTGTTGTTGGTTGTTTTAACAATTCAAAGAAGATAAAAAAAAAAACGTTTTAGAAACTGGGTGCTTTGAGCATAAGATAAAAAGGAGAGAATGCCCATGTCCGGTTCGTATCAGCTACATTCAATGCCAGAGAGTAGACGTTTTTGGTTAGCTACACTAAAACTGAAGCATCCAACGAAAAAAGTGTATGTCTCTCCGCAACATTTTGTTGACAAACGCCTAATACGTTAACAGTAGGGATGGGCATTTCAAGCAAAAATAATAATCGAAGATCGCTGGGTATTATTCAATTATTATTCGAAAATCGCACCCCTCCATCACATCACACACACATGCGTGTATAGGCTATAAGCTACACACCAGAGCACATGAGCAAAGCGGAGCAGTGATGCTTAAATATAAGTAAAAAAAAAAAAAAACGAAACATACGTTTTATATTTAAGTTTCACAATGTAATGTTTATTTTATTTTATTTTATTTCATCTATGTTGATTATATGAAAAGGGAACCGCATGGGATGAGTCAGATATGATCATAAGATGCCCAATATATCGGAAAACACTCTTTAAAGTGAATTTCGTTTAGTATAAATGTATCTTCATTTTAATCAATGTTTTATCAACAAATTGCCTGGAATACTAATAAATAAGAAGCAAATACAGGACACGAAGGCGCGGGCGCGTGAACTGGTGCGCGTCTTATTAATCAACGAAACTCAGCGTAGGCTATAAGTTACTTGCCTCACATACATGAGAAGTATATCTACAGAAAGCTTGAAATGTGTACTTTTAAACAAAATAATTAAAAACGAGCAAAAATGGGCTGCTCTCTGCTTATGTATAGGTTAATTCGTATGAAGTGTGCATTTTTCTCTATAGGCGCGTTCTCTACTGCGAACATGGCGAGTCAGCATCATCAAATTTATCTTTGCAGTGGACACTTACAGAAAACACTAGTTTATTAATAAACAATTCCAATGTTTCATGCATAATCATTACTTTTGCCGTTTTTTTGTGGCAAGCTTTATGCGTGCGTTGAGATGCAGAATAGTCAATATATTACGAAAACGCCCATTATGGTTTAGCATTCTCTCCCATACAGTATACATAACTTCCAACCCAACTTCAGTCGTGCACGGGCAGGGGGAAGCTCTACTTATTTCACATATTTTCTAACCAGCACATCACTGCAGCGTTCTGAGCGAGCGGCGCTTAATCTTCATAAAGCTTCGAACCGGAAAAGGACAACCGGCTTCCGGTTCAAACCCGCTATGAATCATGGGTAAATTCGCTAACCAGGAAAAAGGTGGATACAATTAAATGGGGTCCAATGTAATATCTGTAATATCTCAAAATATCTGTTGAACACGCAATAAGTTATGAATAGTGTTTAAGGTAGAATTTTTTTATTTTAAGTTTTTAGTTAACTATAATAACCCTGTTATCAGGGATGTGTGACCAACAGAGGACTAATGTTCAGAATCCTATCAGTTTAATGGCCATGGTAATTTCGTTGCCATGGTAAAAAAGAATCACGAATTAAGATAGAAATATGGAATCAAGATATTCTGTGGGGACAGAGGTTAGGATGAAGGTAAGGTAAAAGGGTCAGAGGGAGGATTTAGAATCGATTGTTGTAAAGTAAGTTGAACCCGAGTTTTAAGTCTCTGCTCGGCTTGAGTTGAGATCAGAAAGAAGAGAAAACCCAGTAGCACAAATACAAGTTATCGAATATCTCTGTGGTGGGCAAAATAAGCTTCAGCTCTTTCACTGAAGAGATTCGGTTGATCTCACTGATGTTTTTCTTGAGAGGGTTTTTCTGTGTCTCCCTACAGTCTCTGGAGTGCATTAACACTGTGTTGTGCTTGTCAGAGATACGTAAGGGAAAACCATGTCATTCCTTTTGTCTTGAACGCCCCAATTACCCAGCAGCCATTCCTGTGCAAGATTAGCTGTTTCTCTGACAAATGTGTCTCACACCAGAACTGAACAATGCTCGTGCTAAAGCTTTTTTGCGCATGCAAGTATGAAGCTAATTTATTTACAAAGTCTCTTTTTCAGAATTTGTAGGCCATCTGCTTTGCATATATTTTAGATAACAAACACATTTGAGCAACTTGGCACTGACCTTATTTTTTTCCCCATCTGGTTTGTAACATTAATATTGTTCCTAATTATGCAAGCGTTTGTTTGCTTGTATAAAATTGTTTTATTTAGGTCTGTGGTGTGTATTCTGAAGTCTTTGTTCTACAGAATAAAAATACTGACATTTCATCATTTCAAATTGAATTCTTCACAACTTGCGCTTGATTCTTCAGCCTCTTGAATTCAACTAAATGAAGCAATAGGGAGAGATTAATCCTGCTCCTGGTAATGATCGGTTATAAATATTCCTGGATTCTGTGTGGGTCTTAGGGGGATTGTGAATGCTCTACATCATTCCGCTTACGAGCAGCTTGAAAATACAGTGTAGCACCAATATTTGAGGAAATATACGTTTATTGTCTGTTCAGGCACCTGCTCTTTTCTCAGGCTCTCATCACTCATTTGTGGCACAGGTTTTGAAGTCTCTTCCTCGTGTGGAAGGACGTCCTGGAGCTACCCTGCCTTCCATGGATTTCCAGGCCTTGGAGAAGCAGCTGCAAGAAGCTTACGGTGATGAAATCACCCCTGAGGATGTGATGTCAGCAGCCATGTACCCCAAAGTGTTCCAGGAGTTTAAAGAATTCACTAGAACCTTTGGGCCTGTGGATTGTCTGGACACTAGACTTTTCCTGGATGGACCTAAGATAGCTGAAGAGTTTGAGGTGGGAGTATTTCTTTTTTAATAAATAAATTATTAAACGGAAGTAGCTTCGCATTTTTATTTGTTGTTACTGTGCCATAAATCTTCCTGTCATCCATGATCATTCCTACATTCCAAGCATCAGTTCCTTATTTCCTATGCTTGTATCTCTGCTGTCTGTCTCAGGTGGAGTTGGAGCGAGGCAAGACGCTTCATATCAAGGCTCTGGCTCTTGGAGACCTTAATAAAGCCGGTCAGAGAGAGGTGTTCTTCGAGCTCAATGGTCAGCTGAGATCCGTCCTGGTCAAAGACACTGTGGCCATGAAGGTGTGTTTCTGATTTTACTTACAACTTTAAAGGGAGGGATTTTTCTTCCTCCCCTTTTTAAAGTTGGTCATGTTTTTTGGACCAGTTGCTTGAAGGTAGCAGCAGCTTGTTAGAGTTACAAGTAGTAAAATACATAAACCGTGTAAACTAAATTGGTACATCATGTGAAACTACACAGGTTTATTATATAGTTTCACATTTTTAGTTTAGTTTTTTATTTCTATTTTATTTGAAATTTAGTTTAGTTTTTATAGGGGTTTCCAATGCGTTTTCTAGTTTCAGTTTATTTAGTTTTTATTGTAGTCTTAAGGTAGCCTGGGAAAACCCAGACAACTTCCGGCAAATTTAGATTTGCTCTGAAAGTTAGTCTGGCAAAGAGCTCATTTAAACCCATTTCCAATTCGTCGAAATCGAGGCACCAATCAGAAACGTTGGGGCGGGCTTTACACGATGACGACAGCGCTGGGATTTTGTAGCCTACATTACAAAGATGGATGCCGCCGTCGAACATCACTCGTTCGAATCAGCTATCGCGTCTGTTTTAAGCGATTTTAACGTTTCCTTTTTGTTAAAAACCGAGCAAAGAACAACACTCGGAGATGTTTCTCCGCCGCTCTGCATACGTCATCTCCTTCATCGCTCTGGGGTGCGTTTCCCGAAAGCATCGTTACCCAACTATGGTCGCAAGTTGGTCGCAAATCCCATTGAACTCTATTGGTAACGACGGAACTTGCGACCATAGTTGGCTAACGATGCTTTCGGGAAACGCACCCCTAAATGGGTTTAGGTCTATCCGCGACGTCCGTTGGTGACGCCCCTCTGGAAATGATTTGTCTATGACGCTTTGCCAGACCATAACTCAGTTACAACTGAGAATGGTCTGGTTTAACCAGGCTAGTCTTAAGGCTAATGATAACTATATTGGTGTCCACAATATAGTTACAATAACATTCTCTTTATTAGGGATGCACCGAAATTAAAATTCTGGGCCAAAACCGAAAATTCAGGATGCAAACCAAAAATAAATGAAAGATTAATAAATCAATTAATGAATCTAACTTGTTTAATGATCAACAATCAAATAGCTAATGCTGAGTTGTACAAACATTTAAATTGCACATTAGGCAGTTTTTATATCAACTTATTAATAACTGAATTGTTTCTGCTCCAGTTGGTGAAATATAAACATTTAAATGACAATAAACAGATAAACTAAACTTTCTTCATAGGTCAACAAACATGCATTAAATAATGAAGACATCATTAACAGGTTAAGTAAAAAATTAATAAGGTATAGTGCCTATATTTAGCAAAATGCTCTCTGGAGTTATTTTTTTCTGCCTAACTAATGAGTTTATGGACATTGAGTAGCTTACTTGAGGTAAATAAAACGTTATGAGATTGTATTGCCTACAAAGCTGCTTTATTGACGTTTTTCCCTGATATAAACAGTCATTTCATGAAACAGGATTAATTTAGATAAATTGTGTTGTATCTTGTAACTAACTATTAGTGAAGAGGAGATGAGATGATCAGTTCACGTGCGCTTGATCCGTGCTGCCGCTTGAACTGAGGCAGAATAGGAATAGAATATGTGTGCTTGTGCTTGCGTGTGTGTGTGTGTGTGCGTGTGTGTGTGTGCGTGTGTGTGCGTGTGTGTGCGTGTGTGTGCGTGTGCGTGTGTGCGTGTGTGCGTGTGTGTGTGTGTGTGTGTGTGTGTGTGTGTGTGTGTGTGTGTGTGTGTGTGTGTGTGTGTGTGTGTGTGTGTGTGTGTGTGTGTGTGTGTGTGTGTGTGTGTGTGTGTGTGTGTGTGTGTGTGTGTGTGTGTGTGTGTGTGTGTGTGTGTGTGTGTGTGTATGAAACTGAAGTCCTGCCAACCTAAATCAATTTTCTTGGATTTGTAGGAGATGCATTTCCACCCTAAAGCCCTGAAAGATGTACGTGGGCAAATTGGAGCTCCTATGCCCGGTAAGGTGGTAGAGGTGAAAGTGAAGCAGGGCCAGCAGGTGGAGAAAGGACAACCGCTCTGCGTCCTCAGCGCCATGAAGATGGAAACTGTGGTGAACTCTCCTCTCTCCGGCATCGTGACCAAGATCTACGTGACCACCGACAGCACCCTGGAAGGAGATGATCTTATTCTGGAAATCACTGAATAGATATCATGAAGGCCAACAGCAGGAAACATCACCACCACGGCCAATCCCTGCAAGGCTAAACACACAAACTTTAGTTACACACACATATAGAGGCTAACACCTTTTAGTAGAAGCTTATTTGTACAGGATCTCAAAAAACGATGGATGAATCTGAAAACGCTTGTACTTTCAAGCTTGAATTCTTTGACATATGTTCTTTTGTGATCCTCAATCACTTTAATTTATGCGTGATGAGGATGTGTGCTAGTGTTGTTCTTTAGACAGAGAAATGTTTGTCCGTCTTTAATTAGTATTAATGAATGTAGTAAAAACTATAAGATTTACACTGAAAATATAGCAAGCAATAAATTAATGACAGAACGAGATTTAGTTAGTTGAATTCCTAGTAGAATTAAATATCGCACACAGATGTTTCGTCACTTTGGTCATGATTGTTTACATAAACTAAAAAACTGAAACAATTCTCACAAAATCATATGCACAATCCGTCCCTTATATATAGATGTCTTATGTCAGAGAGGATCTTACTTGAATTACTAAGCGAATGCAATTTATTTCAAGACAAATTGCTGTCTCATATACCCAATGTTTTGACCAATGGCCTTGCTTGCTTTGTTGCTGGGAACGTAAGTGCAGGAATGGATCAGACCCCGTCTCCTGAGCCTTACACTTGAGTTGTATATCATGTAAAGGTGGAGAATAGTTACCCAGATGTTTTGGGCTGAAGTGAGCCCCATTGAGGCCAACGAGGATCGATGAGTCTAGATTCAAGAGCACTTATAGACTCCGCGGCAGCTTCTGCGCATATTGAGTTGGAACGTAGGCTTTAGGGGGAACGTCCTTTTCCCAGGGCTCATCTTGTGCTTGTTCCAATTGCTCTCAGTCTTAATGTGAATTTATTTCACTGTCCTGTTACATTCCCCTTAGCAGCAGATGCCTCATGGCTGGTGTAATGACACTGAACGGCTGTATTCTCCACATTTCTTTAATTTCCCTTGTTGAACACGATTGATATAATTCGTAACAGATAATGAGAGGTTTTATTCAACGGCATTCAACTAATAGAAAGCACTCAGCCTGAAATCTACGAGACGCATGGCTTTTGCTGCAAACGAGGTCCATTGGGGGGGCGGGGGGGGGGGGGGCGTCTGAAATGGTTTTAGCAGTCTTGACTCAAAGTAGACCAATTCTTCATGAGGACCAATAGCCTGCAACGTGGATTTTTTCTTATTGCTTATCATAACATCCCAAGGTGGAGACTAGAGCACGTTGTTTTAACTGTGTGAATTGTACATGCCCATAAATGTAATGATCGTCCCTTCAAATGGATGTTGCCATTAAAATGAAGCTAATGTTGTTTAGATGTCGATTTTAGAACACAAAACATCTGTGGTTGTTTCTCTAAACATCTCCATCTCATCACCACAGTCATATTTGAGATTGTTCCTCTGTGTTATTAGACAAATACATCTCAGTTTACATAAGTACAGGAATTGTGATAGGCACAAAACTAGGGGATTTGCTGTGAGAGGGAAGATTCCTGTTGGCTTTTCTTTACTTTTATTTGGTTCCCATATCATGTATGAGGCACTGACTAGGTGTCTGAAAATCTCTGGAGAAATGTTCAATGCTATCAGTTTTGACAGTGCAGTCAAGGCAGTAACCCTTGCTGCAATTCTGAGAGTTTTTGAGTTGAGAAGTGGTTGGCTTTGTTTTATGCTGCCAACAATGCAGTATGTATCAAAGTTGTTAAATGGGTTATGCACCGTCTTAATGTGGCATATGTTGCTGATGCACATCTACTTGGCACATTGTTAATTCAAACTGGGTAAATTTACAGGGTAAAATATTTCTGTGCATAGACATTGAAATTGGGAAAGTTCTGAAGGGAATTGGAACTAATCTGTGTGACATTTCAGATCTGATGCCTTTAATAGCATTCGTTATCTTTCCATTTGAAAGTCTTTATTTCTGTGAAGTTCATCTCTTTCGATCTGTTTTGATAATGAGAATTATATCATGCAAATACTAATGCACCATACCCTTGTGTGTTATTTTAGCATTGAAAATATATAAATCAATAAATAAAAGTTAACAGACTGTCTCCGGTGTCTTGTTTGATGGTTGCTATTTTAGCATATAAATCAAAACTGAAACACGTGGTGATCCAATTGTTTCGATTCATTCTCTCAAGGAGTCGATATTCACGTGAATACACAAACCACATGTTAAAAATAGCTTGACATGATGCTTTTTTGAGTCAGTGTTTGAGTGGGTTCCATTCAAATCAATATCTACAATCATGGGATCTCACGTGTGGATGACATCACATGCCTCCAATAAACTCTGCTTATTGATCGTCCGTCTGCCTGCTACATGTGGCTGGGAGAAACCATCTGTATACTGGAAGAGATGGAATAATATAAGATCCATCATGTGAATAATTAAGTTCATTAGCTTCTTAGAGTCTTATGATTGGGGATAGTCAGCCTGCCAATGATACTGCTGACTGATGACTCCATATTGGTGTGCTTGTGGCAAAACGGGATATAGGATTATGGGATAATGTAGGAGTGATGGATGAAGCTCCCCTGTGCATCCATATGCTCGTTCTATTCTGGCAGCAAGTGTGGGGTGAGTTGATTTGCTCAGCTGATAGATTGATATATGTGGATGAAGCTCTGCAGGGTTTGTTTGTTTGTTTGTTTGTTTTGTTGGTCAGTCTTGTATCTGATGTGTCTCATAAATATGATGACAGTGGGTGTGTTTAATTAAAGGGAGAATGACTCAGAAGCATAAAATAAAATGTAATTTTAGAACTGTTTTTTTAATTGGGACGTAGCACAATGACCCAAGTGTAGGTGTGAATGTGGCATACGTCCTTGTAAAAACACAGTAGATTAAGTCTTTATTAGCTCCTCAGTAGGATCAGAGAGTTTAGCTTATCATCTCGCAGTTATTCAGACACTTTGGCAGTCTTATCAGCAGATGTACAAATCAATGTTCCTTGCCCGTGCCTGTCGATCCCACAATCCTATTTGCATCGCCCAGCTTTCATCTCTTTTTTTTTTTTTACCCTCTCGTTCCTTCACACTCTTTTGACTTGACAGTTTCCTGTCTGTTTCTCTCTCGCTTTTTCCACTAGTCTTTTATCACTATAACCCTGAAAGGCCGTCGGATTATTCCACGTACCTTCCTGCTGTTAGAGCTCTGTTTAAGAAGGTTATCATTCAAGGAAAGTATTGGAACCCTTGTCTGCACCTGGCTGTAGGTACGGTGATGAATTAGATATGAATATTCACAGTCTGGTCCTGCCACTCTGTAATACCACAGTGTCACCAAATATTCATAAGCTTCGTGTAATTCTGGCCTTTTCTCCTTGCCTTTGGGTTATCCTACACATCCCTCTTGCATAAATCAGTGAGTCTCAATGAAGCCACAGTCGATACCAAAGTAGTCCTGCAATGCTACTGTCCATAAAGCCCTTTAAAAATATAGCATTTTTTTGCCGGTCATCTAAATGTACATACTTCCGTGTACATCTCTATTCATACAGTAGGCTAACAAAATACAGATGACAGATTTTCTGCTGGAAATTTGAAGAATGCAACCAGTGTTCCTCATGGTTATATTTAAGGTTTACACTTTATTTCGATGGTCCACTTTGGACATTCTACTAACTATAAGTAACTTTGTAACATCATGTGAACTAACTCTCATTAGAGTATAAGTAGACAGTAGTAGACTGTTAGGTTACGGTTGGGTTAGTATACGTTAACATGTAGTTGTAAAGTTACTTATGATTAGTAGAATGTCTGTAAACCATCAAACAAAGTGTTACCTATTTAAGTTATTTAACAGCTTAGTAAATTGTTTTGTGGTTGTTGGTAAGTCATAAACCTGGGTCGAAGACAAGAGTGAACACGAGGATTTTTTTTTATATTTACCCAGATTTGAAGCCTTGATTAATGTTAAGTACAATTTCAAAGGAATTATGGTTGTATCTTACGTTTTGAGTAGGTTTTTTTAATATTTGTTTTAATGCAGTGCTTACTGTTAAAAGCTGGTAAGTTGTCAAGAGTGGCTAATGAATATTAAATACTGTAGGTGGCATGGCAGTCACCCAGTAGTCGTAACTGATTTGCCGAAAAGCTACTAAGTTGTCAGCATTGCTTATGCATATTAATGAGAAGGCGTAGCGTTCACCCAGTAGTCATAACTGATTTACTAAAAAGCTGGTAAGTAGGTGCTAGTCCCAAAATGAAGCTCTTGAAATTTGAGTATTTTTATTTCCCAAAACGTGGAGAGGACAAACTTAGAAATGTCTATAGACAACTCATCAGTGGTAGATAGGTGTTCCCCCCCAAATTTCAGTGCAGGCCTATACTATGAAAGTAGGTCTGCGTATTCAGGCACAGCCTCCTTGTTTCATCATGATCTTCTTGGTTTTCTGAGAGTTAAAAATTCATCAGCGAGATAACGTCTGTTCACCTGGGAATGAATCCCCTTCTTCCATCTGTCCACCTGAAGATTTGACACTGCCTTGCAGCTCTTTGGACTAGCTTCGGTCTATCTGTCTGTCAATTGCGTTAAGAGGAAGGTGATTATGGAAGTCTGCGTTTGGTTGGAGTGAGATTCAGTTTGTTTCCTCTCATCCTCGGGGGCAGCTGGCAGTCGAGTCCACTCATCCATCCCTGTGCTGGTGGGCAGGCAGCTCTTGTACCGCTGGGAGTCGAACAAGCTGTTTGAGACCAGGGCTCTACTCTTGGTCCTGCTCTCCCATGCCTGAATCTGTAAACCCCGTCCACTTCTCGTGTTCATTTGAACTTGTGCCATGTCATCATTATGTGCTTGATTTACATGATCGGAGGGCCGAAGGGCTCGTGGAAAGACAGAAACCCTCTCATTGGATTAGTCTGTGGGCACATTGCTACCCTGTCACGTTAAAGCAAGGGGCAAAGAGAAGCTGGCTCGACTCAGTGGAATGAAAATGCCTAATTGGCTTCATTTGTATGGCTTGAATATGCAGCCATTTGCTTAATTTTCCTAGTGAGTGTACAGTCCAATTTGCAGTCCTTGTTTATACTGCCTTATGAAAGAGAAGCTCTCACTGTGATGAGAATATAATGACAGT